GTCCTGCAGTCCCCAGGGAACCCGCGCCAGTCCCGACAATGCACCAGGTAGATCTTGGCTCACTCCTTCCTGCCAGGCTGGCCTGACTCCCTTGGGGACCCCTGCCTTTCCCTGGCCTGAGTTTCTTTTCCTTCCTGTACATCCCGCAGGCTGCTTTACAGCCTGGCCCTGCTTGGGCGCCTAAACTTGCAAGGGCGTGGGGGTGGGGCCTGGGCTTCCCACGTGCAAAGGGACAGGTGTGGTACATGGGATGGCGTGGGCAGTGTGACTGGGGGATCAAAAAAAAGGGTTTGCTCTGAACAGCCTTTCCTGGCCCCCAGGTGCCTGGCCACGGGAGGGTCAGGCCAGTGCTCAGAGTTGAAGGGAGCCCCCAGCCCTGAGGGTCTGCTGCGGGAGCTCAGGCTGGGGAAGAGGAAGCTGAGGAGGAAGGGTTCCATCCTGTGGTGTCCTCACCAGCTCTGGAGTTACTTTGGGGGTTTGCTTCCTTCACTGCCATCCCCACCCCACTCAACATCTATCAGGGTAGAAACAGAGAGGGGCCCACGTTCCCCAGCTTTCCATAGGAGAACCCAGGGGCCCCATCAGAGTAGAAGACATGGGGTCTTCTTAGTCTGACCTGGGCAGAACCAGGAAGCCACACTGGGTATGTCCCTCCCCGATTTGATCCTGAGGCATGGGGACAGGAGGGTGTGGTTTGGAGATGAGGCACCTCCCACACTTCACCCCAAGTTTCTGATTTCATGTCCTCTCTTCTTGTTGCCCTACCCTGGTACCACGTTCCTGCCTTCCAGGGAGTCAGGAGTGGGGAGCCCAAGACACTGGGATTAGGGTTAGACTGGGGGATGCTGATTCCCTTTTCAGGATTTTAGGGCAGCTATTCACCACTGCCCACTGCCTGAGATGAAGCAGCAGCCCCTGCCCCGGCTCAGGACACAAGCCCTTGAAGCTTGCTGGGGACCTGGATAAAGGGGCAATGGGAGGGTCCTTGGGGCCAAACCCTGTATGCCAGGCTGAAATGAGGTCTGTCTCTGCCCCTTTCTGAACAAATTTAACATAACATCTTAACATAACACCTTATCTTTCTGTTTCTTTCCTATTTCTCTCTCTCTCTCTCTTTCTTTTTTTTTTTGAGACAAGGTCTTACTATGTAGTTCAGGGTATACTTGAACTTACTATGTAGCCCAGGCTGGCCTCGAACTTGCAGTGTTCGTTCCTCTTGCCCAGCCTCCCAAATGCTGGGATCACAGGATGCCCATCAACCTGACTTCTCTTTCTTTTTTCTGTCTTCCATTATCTGGATCTTTTTCTTTATCTTTTCCTTTTTGGTTTTTTTTTTTTTTCTTTGTTTTTGGTTTTGTTTTGTTTTGGGGGTATTTTGAGATTTTGAGACAGGGTCTTGCTGTGAGATTCAGGCTGGCCTTGAGTTTACTACAGAACTATGTAGTCCAGGCCTTGAACTTGCCTTGAACTTGCAGTGATCCTGCTGCTACACCTGTCTCTGCCCCCAGCTAGGGTTACAGGCGAAAGCCACCATCAGGGACCTTTTCTTCTTTGTGTTTCTCTGTCTCTGTATCCCTGTCTTTATCTCATGCTCTCGCTGCTGTGTGTGTGCTTACCTCTGTTTCTTTTTCTCTTCCCCACTTCTCCCCAAAGCGCTGTGTTACTCTCAGCTTCCTTTGAGGGTCCTTCTATCCATGTTGGTCTTTCTCATGAGTACATGGCCATATCACCCTCTCTCTCTCTCTCCCTCTGCAACCCGCCTCCCAGGCTTGCCACTGCCCTCCACCTTCTCTGGCTATAAACAGCTCAGCTTGGCAGGAGCCCCAGAGGCAGCCCGCGGAGGTGCTGGCTGGGGCCGGGGAGCCGCTGCGAGGGGACGGGCTGCCACAGCTCACAGCCATCGTTGCCGTCTTCGTCCTGCTGGCCGTGTGTATCGTGGTGGTGGTGCACTTCGGGCCAAGGCTCCACCAAGGCCAAGCCACTTTCCTCACAGAGCCACCAGCCCCAAAGCCCGAGGATGGTATCTACCTCACCCACTGGCGGCTGCTGGGCACCCAGGACAGTCCCAAAGAAGCCCAGCAAGGACTCCCTGTCCTTGGCTCCAGCCCTGCCCCAGATGGGCCCAGGCCCAGCATGGATGAAGTCACATATCTGTAGGAAGGAGACCTGGACAGTTAGCCTGACCTGGCTCAGAACAAAAAACGACTGTGAAGTAGAGCAAAAGCAACCCGGAGCCTGGGCATCAGAGCCGCGGAAGGGTATGGGAACCTCAGCCAGCACGCCCTGTTGCAGACAGGAGAAAAGAAAGAAACCCGAGGGCCCTGCCCATGGACGTGCTGCTGTGGGCATCCCCAGTGCCCAAGACCACCTTTGCAAGTTCCTCCCTCCTCTCAGGACCTCCAGACCCCACCGTCCTTCCCCAAGTCCCTGCCCCACAAGCAGGACCATCAAAGGCCTGGCGGAAGCCCTGGATCCCATGAAAAACAGCCAGGAAGAGTGGAGGCAGGGAACCTGTGGTCTGCCTTCTCTGAGACTCCAGGGATCCCGCTAAGGAAGGAATATCTGCTGTCTTTCACACCTTGGGGGCCAGTCCTTTGGCTGTGAGGGCCTAGGCCTGCTGACAGTCTCCAAAGCACTTGGAAAGCTCAAGCACTATTCCTATTTCCAAGATCCTCTGAATGCTCCCCTGACGGTCTTGCCTCCCCAGGATGCGGTGGGCAGAGTCTGAAGGCTCGTATTACCTCCCGCTGTTCTGCGTACACTGGCTGTCGGAACAAGCCCAGAATTTACCAGAAAACATTTCCCAGATTCAGAACTTTCTAGCTGGTGGGAAAACGGGAAAGGAAAAGGACTTCCACGGAAACTGTTTGGGGAAGGAAGGATGCGGGGGCACATCTGGAAAAGTGAGGTGGGGAAGGAAGGGGTCAGGAAAACGCAGGCAGGGACCAGAAAGACAAAGCCAGGCCACAGGGTGGCTCTCTGGAAAGACATCCCTTTCTCTGGCACCTTGGAACATCATGCAAGAGAACATGCAGGCGGGGCTGGGGGTGCCGCTCAGCAGTGTTTCCCAGCACGCACAGGGTCCTGGATTCACTCCCCAGTACAGCAAAGAAGGTCCCGGGTCCCATGCAATGTCCATAGTTCCAGCCTTCTGGAAGGGTGAAACAGGAAGATCAAAAGTTTGAGCCCAGCATGAGCAGTTTGGCAACTTAGGGAGACTATCTCAAAAATAAAATTAGACAGGGATTGGGGATACAATTCAGTGAGAAAACCCTGGGTTCCATCCCTAGTACTTGGGTGTGGGGATACTTATGGAGGGACCTCTTGTACTTTACCCTGTAGGCCTGTGGAGGATAACTAACTAGTCAGCCCCCAAAATCAGGGAGACTGAGAATAACTACAGGTGGAGGGGACAGAATGGGGGTTGCAGTGTGTGCAGAAGATAGGTTTCCCTCCCAAGGGTCTGGTAAGAGGCACTTAAAATGTTAGCAGCTGCTGCCTTTTCCTTTTCTCTCTTTTCTTTTTTCTTTCTTCTTCTTTCTTTCTTTCTTTCTTTCTTTCTTTCTTTCTTTCTTTCTTTCTTTCTTTCTTTCTTTCTGTACTAAAGCTAGAACCAGACTGCAATGAACTATTTCCCCAGCCCTTGTTATTTTAAGACAGGCTCTCCCTAAGTTGCCCAGGCTGGCCTTGAACTTGTGATCATCCTGTCTCAGCCTTCTGAGTGGCTGGGGTTACAGGTGTGCGACGCTGAGCCCAGGAATAGTTGCTTCTCCTTTCGGGTCAGCTCTGTGCCTGACTCTGGGCCTGCCTGTGGACCTAGAGACACTACACCATTCCCTTGTCCCAACAGCCCTGAGGGGAGGAACTGTATTATCCCCCTTTACATGTGGGCAAACCATGGCTTGTTAGAATGTCCAGGAAGGCCTGGGAACTATGTGGTAGAGTCGGGATTTGAAGCTGGGACCACCATAGAGGGACACCATACCGGGGGCTGGTTTCTGGTATAGGAATGACTAATGTGGTGGAGGACCCTCTAGTCTTAGGAGTGAGGTGGCTGACACACTGGGGGACAATGCACTGTGCCCTTGACTCATTCTCTTGGCTCTGTCCCCCATAGGGCCAGCTAGTTCCCTGTGGCCACTGTGTCTGTATCTGGAGCATTTCTCCAACGTGGTACTGTGCTCAGAAATGCTTTTTAAACTTTTTTTTGGAGATAGGACCTTAGTATGTAGTTCAGGCTCACCCTGAACTCTCTATGTAGCTCAGGGTGCCCTTGAACTCATGGTGATCCTCTTGCCTCAGCCTCCTGACTGCTCTGGCCTTGAACTTGTGATCCTCCTGACTCAGTTCCCCAAGTGCTGGGATCATTGGTATATGCCACCATGCCTGAGACCCTGTCTCAAAATAAAAATAAAAAGGGCTAGAGATGTAGCTCAGTGGCAGAACGCTTGCCTAGATGTTCAACGCCTGCTGAGAAGGGTCAAGGATATAAAGAAACCACAGAGAGAGCACATACCCCAGGGAAGAGCCATTGCCACTGGCAGGGACTGAGCAGGAAGCAGTTCCAGAAGCCTGAAGACAGCTTTCCTGAGAGGGTTGCCGGTGGGAAGGCCCCAGTGACACCGTTATTGCAGGGAGGGAGCTGGGGAAATCCACACCCCAACCTCACTCTTCTCCGTTCCCCTGTGCGAGCTGCCCACTCGGACAGGTCATGACCAACATGACTGTCTTGGTTACTTTTTTCTCGTTGTTGGGACAAAAATACCTGACGCCCAAAATTAAGGAAGGAAAGGTTTATTTCGCTTACAGTTCGTGGAGGATTCAGTCCTTACTTGGCAGATTACAAGGCAGAGTGGCACATGGCAGAGGGCTACAGCTCATGGACGGCACAGCAAAAGCAACAGCACACACCAGGGCGGAATGGCCCAAGCAGCCTCTTCCTCTCCCTTACATATGCAAACTATCCACCCCTGGGCGGGTGCAGCTCTCACACCCATAATTAATCAAACTTTAAAAGCCTGCCCCATGGCCACAGGAGGCTTTGGGGGGACACACAGACATAAACCATAACAATGACCAAAAGCCAGAGAGCAGTGGGGTCCACTGAGGTTAGCAGACAGGTCAGCGTCCAGGGCAGGGGAAGCCCAGAGAGGCCAAGTGCAGATCCCTGCACGCCTCTTAAGTTTGAAGTCAGAATTTACACGGAATTTCATGCACACATACGTAACAAGCCTGTGAGGCAGGAAGGGCTGCAGTTATCCTGTTCTGTAGATGAGAACACTGAGGCTCAGCAAGGTGAGCCTTGCCAAGCACACAAGACTCAGCGGGAGATGTCAAGTCCAGGCCCACCCTCTCCTGCAGGTCCCCTGTGGGTGGAAGCAGCTCTGCTGGACATGCAGCCCCTGAAGAAGTCCCCAGTCCAGAATCTTGGGGACCGCTGGAGGCTCAGGCGAGGTGACCCCGGCCCCAGAAGATATCCGTACGGAGTGGGAGAGGCTGCTCTGTCCCACTGATGAGGAGCTGCGGCTCCTGGGACAGCGTGGTCGAGTCTGGGACTGCCAAGGCCTCCGAGCTGTCCAGGGAAACCTCCTCCCTTTCCTCCTGCCGCAGGTGCCGGAGAACCTCCTGGGACAGCAAGAAGCTGCCTCCCTCCGCAGGTTCTAGGATGAGGACCGGGGAGAGGGGTGAGGACTTCCCTTCACTTTCCCTCTAGAACACGTCCACAGGAAGTGCTGCAGCCTTCCCTGCCCCTCTTCCCACCTGCTCCCAGCCAGTGGGCCTGGAGTCTTGTGGCATCCTACAACTGGAAATGGTTTGATTTGGTATGGTTTTGCTTTGGCTTTTTCTGAGACAGAGTTTTACTATATAGTCCAGACCAACCTTGAATTCGCTACGTACTTAGCCCACAGTGGTCTCAAACTCACCATCCTCCTGGCTCAGCCTCCAGAAAGCTAGGATTATAGGTGTCTACAACCACGCCCAGCTTAGCAGTGGCCTGCTTTATTTATTTGTTTATTTACTTATTTTTGAGAAAGGATCTTGCTATGTAGCCCAGGCTGGCCTTGAACTCACTATGTAACCTTGGCTGGCCGCGAACTCACAGCGATCCTCTTGCCTCAGCTCCCCAGATGCCGCAATTACAGGCGTGCACCATCATGCCTAGCAGAAGTGGCTTTAAATATAAAGGAATTGCCACCTCTCACTTTTGGAGATGACTCTCAGAAACGGTCAGGTGCCTGCCCAAGGCCATGCAGTGAGGGAGTGGCAGGGCCAAGACCTCAGGCCTGGTCTCTCCTGCTCCATACCCCCTGGCCCGGGCCCATCTCCTCCCTGTGGCGTCCCCAGATTAAATGAGGGGCTCTCTGTAGGCTCCACCCAGAGTTTGCAGCCAGAGTCCTCAGAAAGCAACCTAGTGTCCAGGGTGGCAGGGGTACCCCTCCCAGGGAGGAAGGGACACTGGCCACTTGGGACAGCCCAGAAATAGTGCTACCACGTGTCCTTCTGACTCTGGGAGCCCCAGAGGCCCTGGTGCCTCATGTCCTCCAGCCTAAGAACCTCTTACCCTGGTAGACGATGAGACGACACTTGTTCTGACACTCGGGGACATCTGCCAGGATGTCCTCCAGTATCCGGCAGAAGAGTTTGGCCTGCTCAAGCCGATCGTCCCGGCTAAAGCCAGCCCTGCTGTCCTGTGACATGGCAAACAAGGTCTGCAAGGGAGTGGCATACTCCAGGACACAGGCAGCCACCTGGGGGAGGGGGGTAAGAGGAAGACCACATGAGCCAGCCCCCTGCTGTGGGACAAAGTCCTAGGAGGCCGCCACCCTGACGGGTCTGTCCTGGCTGGCCTGCCTCAGGCTCTGACCTGTCAGGACAGAATGGGCTAAGTTTACCTTCCACAGATCTTGCTCCTGGGATCCCAGGGAAAGGGCCAGAGAACAAGGCCATCAACTGCCCCCGCTGGAAATTGAGTCTCAGGGCTGAGCTCTGAGCTTCAACTATGGTCTGGGTTTACCTGAACCCTCATAAAATCATTCAGACACCCTCCCAGCCTCCCTGAAGGGCAATTTGATGGCCAAGAGCATGGCATAGTCCATCTGAATTGTGCACTTTCTCACCATCTTGTTGAGCTTCAGTTTATTCCTTTGTTTTTTGTTGGTTACTGTTTTTCTTCTTTTTTTAAAGTTTTTTTTTTTTTTTTTAGGTTCTGTTTGTTTTTTTGAGCCAGAGTCTCGATATGTAGCCCAGGCTGGCCTCAAACTCACAGAAATCCTCCTGCCTCTACTTCCTGTGTGCTGGGATTGCAAGCATGTGCCACCACACCTCACAAGCTTGTTTCTTTGACAAGCAGGGATCATAACTGTCCCTACCCCACGCAGCCGTGATGAGGATTCAGTGGACTGGTCATTCATGCACCCAGAATAGCATTTGGCACACAGTAGGTACTCAATAAATGTTACTTATGATCACCCAGAATGAATCTCTCCCAGCCTTGGGACTGACTGGGGAAACAGGCTGAGAGATGAGTCATGAATTTTTCTCCGTGCTTAGTCAGGGCCCAGGCTTCGTGGGCCTGATCCCTCCCTGCCTCTCTACATACTCACCGGCCGCCCATCTTCCAGAAGCTGATAGACACTGTTCGAGTACACTCGCCCTTTGATGCCAGCACGGTCAGCATGCTCCTGCGGCAGCATATGCAGGAAGCAAATGTTGGGGTCCACCACACTCAGGTCATCAGGCACCCCACAGTCCAACGGGAAGAGGATGTACAGCCGTTGGCTCCCTGCACCCCGCAGCATGTTGTTGTGGAGCTTATTGTAAGCTTGGATCCGAGCCTGGAGCCCTGGGGTCAGGAAGTCCAAGAAATCATCCATGTTAATCCTGTCTCCTATCCAATCCAGGACTAACGCTCAGGCCATCGGCCCTGTCAGGGTGTGTGCAAAAGAACTGGGGGTTAGCTGGGTGTGGTGGTACACATGTGCAATCCCAGCACCCAGGAGGCTGAGGCAGGAGGATTGCTACAAGTTTGAAGCCAGCCTAGGCTATATAGTGAGTTCAAGGCCAGCCTCAACTACACAGTGAAAAGCTGTCTCAAAAAAAACAAAAAACAATGGAAAAATTCAAGGGTCTCATTGTACAGGAGGTCGGAGGCGGGGAGAAAAGAGTCCCTGGGGATCCTCTCCTCTTCCTACTGCTACCATCCAATTCTCCCTGCTCCTCCGCCAGATTCCTGCATCAGCTCTGTTCCTTCCCCCTTTCAGGGCTCTAAGAGGGCAGAGCCCAGGAGAGGACATTCCCAACACTGCGAGGTGCAGACAGCAGGCCTCTAGCTCCAGAGCCTTCCCTTAGGAAGCTGGGGCCAAAGGCAGGCAGCACTGGGATGTGGAAGAGCTGCAGCTATGGCCTGCAGTCCAGTGAAACATGCACCGGCTCCACAGTGGAGTAGTCAAGGGTCCAGGCTCCAGAGAGGCCTGGGTTCAAATCCAATCTTCTCTCACTGGCCTCAGACTCTTACTGACCCCCCTGCTTTAGCCTCCCCAGTGTAAGAATCACTTTTCTTGAAGTGTGAACCTCCCTAGTGCAATAATTACACTTTCTTATCTCTGAAATAGAAGTGATGGCACCAAGTGTTGGTGGCTCACGCCTGTAATCCCAGCACTCAGGAGGCTGAGGCAGAAGGATCGTTGTGAGTTTGAGACCAGCCTAGGCTACAAAGTGAGCTCAAGGCCAGCTGGAACTGCATAGCGAGACTCTTTCTCAAAAAGACTAATAATAATAATAATAATAAATAGGAGTGATGAGCTGGGCCTGGTGGCACTGGCCTATGATCCCAGTACTTAAGAGGCTGAGGCAGGAGGATTGCTGTAAATATAGGGATGATGTAAGTTGCTGTTAATATAGGGGTGACGCTTGTCCTTTCCTCACAGCCTAGAAGGTAAAAGATAAAAAGCCTCTGAGGGGCACGAGGTAAATATTTGTCCAAAGCCTTCCAGGATGCCCTTGGGCACGTCACTGAATGGCTTTCAGTCCCCCATTCCTTACTGTAAACCAGGCAGAATGATAACACCCTTTGTGCTGACAGGGCTGTCTGAGGAATCCATGGTTTGGAAGACATGAAGATGCCTTGCAAAGTGAAGGAGGTTCTGGGTACAGAGGCTGTGCATTTTGCGGCCCAGGAATAGGAGCACAGGGGTGGCCCACCTGGCAGGATCAGCCTCAGGTACCCGATGTAATATGACCATGCCAGTCCGTGGGCCACATTGAAGTTTTCTTTTTCACAGATCGCAGACATCTCAGCTGGAGTTAGGCCCTGTGCAGAAAGAAGGCCATGGGGCCTCCATGCAGTCAGCCAGAGCCCCTTTCCAAGATGCTTTCCCAGCCTGCTGCAGACCTGCCCCCTGCTCTGCTGTCCCTGCGCTCACCGTCTCAGGTCATTGCAGAATCCACTGCCAGGACCCCACCCTTCAAACTAGTGCCGCCCCCAGGACTGAGCTCGGGCAGGCCATACTAGCCGCAGCACCCACTCCCCCAGCCAAAGCCTCCCCTCCCTCTGGCCTACCTGGAGGTCCAGGAGCACGTTGAGCGCTTTTGAGAGGCCAAGGAGAGCAAGCACCCAGCTGAGGGGCAGGCTGGAGTCCGGAGGGAGGGAGAAGTAGAAATAGCAGGCCAGCAGCAGCAGGGCCCCATGGCGGACGGGGCAGCCCAGGCAGGCCCGCACAGCTCTCCAGTAGCTGCCCCGGTACCTGTAGGGGACAGCAGGTCGCAGCTCAGCCAGAGACATTCGGGCGGGGGGTGGGGGGGTGGGGTGCGGCTAGGAGTCAAGTGGGCGAGGCTTGTCAGGTACCCGGACTCCACGGAGCGGGTAGAGAGTCACCTGGAATGGACGTGGTGCAGCTCCTCGGCCAGACAGCAGACCCCTTTCAACAGCAGGCCCAGCTGCAACGAGACGAGGTGGGCCACCAGACACCGGAGAGTGTGGTCCGGTGGCTCCCCCGTGCTCCAAAGGACCACCAGGCAGGCCCCCAGCAGGACCAAAGCTGCCTGCTTGGCCCTGTGGCCCCTGGGACGTGGGATGGATGGATGCAGGCTGGAGTACGGCATCTGTGGGCACCAAGAACTCCATGGCCACACTCCCGTCATTCAGCCGCCCTGCGGGAACTGTGGCCCTGGCGGGTACCCCCTCAACTTCCCCTCCTTGGTGCCCTCCCGTTCCCACAGGCTGCTCTTAGAGGCACTTCTAGAGGGTAGCCTGACTACACATCACCCCAGGGTGTTTGGTAAAAACACAGCAGCCCCCCCATGCCACACCGCACACCAGTATGAGACCACAGGTACGATGCAGAAAGAAGGCAGCAACTAGATCTGGGTCCCAGACCCAGATCCGAAAGCGTTCTGTGCCATCCAGCCCATCGGGGGGCCCTGAGGGACCTGGCCCGTCCTAAAATGCACCCCAGGGAGGACTTGAGTTGCCAGAGCTCAGGGAGTGGGGCAGATGCTGGGTCTCATTTTGGAGGCCAGTGTCCCAGCCTTGGGGCTCCAGCAGGGCTGCTCCTGACCCTACCTTCTGCCTCCTGGACACAGGTTCTTCTTGGAAGACCATGGGCAGCAAGGGACCAGCCGGTGCAGTGGCTACCGTCAGCCACCGGAGCCTCTCTAGGTGCCACCTAGAAATGAAACATTAAAAACCGAAACCTCCTCAGCACCCCTCCAGCCCTGGCACCCTGCCAGACCACAGCTTTAGGTGCTAGGGAGAGAAGGGTATTTCCTGATCTTCAGGGAGGCCGGCCCTGTTCAGGCCCTCATGAGCCAGGTCTGGGTCTAGGGTGTGAGTAAGCTCAGAAAGCTTCGTCCCATTGCCAGGGTGTTCAGAGCACCCACCTCCCCTGCAGCCACAGCCCGCACACTAGGGTCCCGTCATCCGCCCACTGAGCTCCAGCAGGACAGCACGCAGGGCTGGAGGCCAGGCATGAGGGGTCCCTGTCTGACTTCCAGATGCAGATTCTCTTCTCTGAACACTGGGGCATCAGGAAGGGGTGGAGATGCAGGCACAGTTATTTCCTGGAAATCACCAAGGCCTGGGGGAGGAGCTGGCGGAGGATTGGGGCTTTGGCTCTGCCCTGCGTGGAGGAAGTGGTCACCCCTGCAAGTGCCAGAGAGCTGTGCACAGGCGGCTCATGGGGCTGGTGCTGTAGAGTCTGCGGAGGCTACACTGCGCCACGCCAGGCCCCGGTCTCTCCGTGAATGATACCAGAGCATTTCCCTGGCTGCAGACACTGCCCCAAGCACATGTGTCATTTCACATAGTCCTCCTAGCCACCATGTCGGGTGACTATAATTCTACCCCCATTTTAGAGATGGGTAACCTGAGGCCCAGTGAGGCGAGATAACTTGCTCCAGTGAGCAAGGGAGAGAGGATCTGAAGCCCAGTGGCTTGTTCCAAAGCCCAAGCTCTCCTGGTGGAGGGAGAAACCCTGGCTGCTGTGCTGATTTGAGGGCAGGGGAAGAGGCAGCAGGAGTTCTTTCCTGCCCAGGTTCACTCCTTCCCTGAACCCTTCCCCACCTCACAAGCAGACACAAGAAGAGACACGCACTCAGGTCCTCCCCACCTCCCAGGAGCGTTAGGGCTTCCTGGAAACCCTAAGAGCATTAGGGCTCTTACTGGAAACAATTTCCTCAGCATGGAGGGAATTCCCTACACTTTCTCTTCCCTAAAACTGGCTCACATAAAGGTCTGGAAGGATAGAAGACAAAATACTAACAATGATTACTCTATGAGAAAGGAAACTGAAAGTTTTTATACTATTTTTTTCCTTTTTTCTCAGTAGGATAAATATGGTTTATGTGTTTAATGTTTAACGAATGCAGTAAAGAGGTAGGTGTGGTGGCACACACCTATAATCCTAGCACATGGGAGGCTAAGGCAGAAGAATCACTGCAAGGCCAGTCCAGGCTAGATACATACGTGCATGCACACACACATAAAGTCACATTTATGAAGTGCTATGACTTGAATATGTTTTGTCCCCTTCTGAAACTCATGTTGGAGTTTAATCGCCATTGTGATGTATTAAGAGGGTAGAAATTTAGGGGCTGGGGATTTAGCTCAGCAGCACAGCACCTGCCTGGCAAGTGCAAGGTTGTGAGTTCAATTCCTGGTACCGGAAGAAAAACAAAAACAAACAAACAAACAAAAAAAGAGGGTAGAAATTTAATTCAACCCTGATGTTTAGGGATGGGGCCTTTAGGAGGTGATCAGGTTTAGACAAGGTCATCAAGTCATTCATGATTTAATCTGGGTGGCTTTATTTTATTTTTTTGTTTTTTTGTTTTTTTGTTTTTTGTCTTTTTGAGACAGGGTCTCGCTGTACAGTTCAGGCTGGCCTTGAGCTCACTTTGTAGCCTGGGCTGGTCTCAAACTGGCAACGAACCTCCTGCCTCAGCCTCCTGAGTGCTGAGATTACAGGCTACCATGCCCGGCTTATTTTATTTTATTTATTTGTTTTATTTATTTATTTTTTTGGAGACAGGGTCTTACTATGTGGCTTTGGACTCACTATGTTTATGGCCCAAAACTTGAGACAATCCCTCAGCCTCCCAAGTGCTGGGACTACAGGTGTGCGCCACTGTGACTAGCCTGGTGGCTTTAAAAGCAGGAGAGAGACTAATGGAGAGAGACCCACGTGCTCCCTGGCTCTTGCCAAGGACACTGTCTTGATTACTTTTCTCCCATTGCTGAGACAAAAGGCCTGACGCCAATAATTAAGGAAAGAAAGGTTTATTTAGCTCACAGTTTGTGCAGCAGAAGACAGCAAAGCAACAAGAGCAAAAAGCGGGGAAGAGCAACCCTCCTTTCCTCCCTGATAGTGTAAGCAGGCTACCACCCCTAGGGCTCGTGTACCAGCGCTCAAACGATCTCTGCGCCCTCCTTTTGCACAGGATGAGGGTGTTTACAAAGTGCCAGGTTTACTGGCTCCTCCTGAGTGGCTTAGTTAAACTTCTAAACTTCTCAACCTGACACAATGTATCGACTGCCACAGGTCCCCTGTCTCAGCTTGGACTCTGCAGCAAGAAGGCCCTGACTGTGCGAAGCCCTCAACCTTGGCCCAGAATCATGACCCCAAAGAGTCCTCTTTCATTTACAATTGACCCTAAGCACGCAGTGTGTGGTACTGCGTGCTTAGGCACAGAAAACAAAGACATCGGTGCTGGAGGTTAGGCCCTCAGCACATCTCTCCCGTCCGTGATGAAAGAGGGGGGCGGGGAGAAGCAGGCCAGGAAACAGCCATCAGCTGCGTGCAGGAGACTGTCTCCGGCTCAGCCAGAGGGGCGGGCCTCGCAGCCCTTCCAGATGGGCCCTCTGGTCTCGTGCGGAGCAAGCGCAGGGCTGTGGGGAGAGTTAGGTTCAGGCTGCGCGCTGCCGATTCTCAGGCCCGGAAGTGGCTGCCGCTCCCCACTCCCGGAAGGGCCGTCTAGACGGTCCGGGTTTCTACTTCCAGCCCCGCTCTTGCTCGCACCAGTCTTCCCTGAAGCTTGTCCAAAACATTCTTAAGAGAAAGCAGCTTCCAGGCAGTCAGGTGGCTCCGCCCTAGACGGGTAGGGAGGAGCAGGGCGCCCTCTCCGCTCCTGGTTTCTCCTCACGACCCAGGTGTCCCACCCCGCATTCCTGCTAGAACAGGGGAACTGGGGGCAGTTCAGTGTCGCTGGAAGCTGAGTGTGGTGGAGGTGCACATTTGTAATCCCAGCACTCTGGGAGGCTGAGGCAGGATCACAAGTTCAAGTCTAGTGTAGGCAGTTTAGCCATGTAGCAAAACCTTGTTGAAAAAAAAGCCCTCTGCTTCCCCCCGCCCCGCCCCCAGTGCTGTCCTGCCTTGGAGCAGAGTAACTGTGGACTCACACCGCTGTGAGCCGGGGTAGGGATGCGCCTCTCCTGACGGCGCTGGGTGTGAAAGCTGTCTGAACCGGGGGTCTCTCCAGTGTCTTCCCCAGTCTGCTCCAGTTTGCCCACGCAGAGCCTCTTGCACTTGGTTAAGGAACCCCTAACAGCTTATAATTATGAGAAATAGGTGCCTCGGAAGTCCCCAGGTGGCCAGTTTGTATCTTACTGTTATGGGGTTTGGCGGGCTGGAGTCTCTTTCTGGAGATGGTTTCTAGGTTGTTTCTATCCAGAGCAAAGAATTGCTCCAGGGCAAACAGTGGCAAGGTTCTATTAACTGCAGGAAAAGAATCAGGCTCTGAAGAGTGAGTTTGGGACAAGAAAAAGTAGGAAAAGAAGCACAGCTGGGTGTGATGGCATACACCTATAATCCCAGCACTCAGGAGGCTGAGGCAGGACAATGGTCATGAGTTCAAGGCCAGCCTGAACTACATAGTGAGACCCTGTCTAAAAAAAAAAAGAAGAAAAAGGAGAAGGAGGAAGGGAAGGGGAGGGGGAGGAGGAGAAGCTACAGCATGAGGGCGGCCACCATGTAGGAGAGCACATGGTGGCAGAAACAGTGCAGACAGTCATATTTGTATCACTCACACCTCAGGCTGAGGTCAGATTTAGGCTGTCCTGTCGAAACCGTGCTTGAGTTCTTGCAAGATGTCCACAAGCAGGGTTTTGGGAACTGCTCAGCACAGGTGTCCTGGGAACTTGTCAGGCCTCCTTTTTAGCCATGCCCTACCCTTCTGTGTCTTTGTGTCTTGACCTCACGTTTCTGCTTTACCACTGTGAAAATGCTAATACTGCCGAAGAAGGGTTCCAAGAGCAGATGCTACCGAGTGAGAAGTGTTACCCTTGGCTCGCTCACAAGAAACTTTCTTTGCATGACATCTGAAGACCATTAGGAGGAGGCCTTCAGAGTCCTCAAACCAATGGAGAATGTGAGTTACCAAGCACATTTGACAAGCTCTGAGTAACTGGAGAGCATTTTCAGTTCATCAGTGCTTTCTGGTAGGACCTGATTACACATCGTAGTAGGCAGGCAATCCATTGATTATGGAGAGCTTTCATATTAGTTGGGTATTTCTTGTGTTTTCACAGAAAAATGTTGTTTCTTTTGTGATCTGGACATACTAGGTAAAAATGATTATTCACAGGAGCAGCTCTCTCTTAAGGAAAAAACTGCTTAAGAAAAACTGGCACTGCATGGTTACAGAAATGAAAAATTTCTACCTCATATAGGAAAACTCCAGGCTGGGAGTGGTACTGCACGCCTGTAATCCCAGCACTCAGGAGGCTGAGGCAGGAGGATCACTGTGAGTTTGAGCTCTGCCTGGGCTACAAAGTAAGGAGAGTTACAGTGCTTCTCTGCTTGACTTTTGAGGAACTACTAACTGTTTTCTATTTTATTCCTTGTAATGTTACTGTTATTGAATCTGTGTGTGTGTGTGTGTGTGTGTGTGTGTTACTGAGAATTGAACCAATGGGCACTCTGCCACTACATCCCAGCTTCCCTTTTTTTTTTTGCCCGGCCATGATGACATATTTCTGTAATCCTAGCACTTGGGAGAACAAGGCCAAAGGATTACTGCAAGAGTTCAAGGTCAGTTTGGGCTACATAGTGAATTCAAGGCCAACCTGAAATACAAAGTGAGAGCTTGTCTCAAAAAAATTTTTCTTTTAATATTGAAGCAGAGTCTCACTAAATTGTCCAGGTTGGCTGTGATTTGCAGTCCACCTGTTTGAGCCACACAAGTAGCTGGGATTTCACATGGGTTCTGACACAATAGCTATGGTACGCATGGAGGTTTTCCTTAATTTCTATAATTTTATAACTTCCGTGTGTGTGTGTGTGTGTGTGTGTGTGTGTGTGTCTGTGAGACAGAGAGAGAGAGAGAGAGAGAGAGAGAGAGAGATGGGGCCCACACCCAGGCCTGGCGCATGCTGAGTACCCT